CGCCCGCCACCCGGCGGCGGCGCCCGGAGCCAGGCACTGCAGCGTGGCACAACAGCGCCGACGCTCCGGACTGGAGAGGAACTGCGTGAGGTTCTGAACAAGGGTTTAGATTACTGATGCCTCCAGAGTCTGTCGTCCAATTTAGTCATTTAAGAAATAATTACATCACTAATGTAAACAATATAAACATACCAAAAACTAAGTATGATTTAAATACATTTTGATGGTACAAAAGAAAAACCTGAAGGTGTCTGTACAGTTTTTACAACGTGGGAATTGCCGACGTATTTACAACATGACAGGGCAAATACCATTCTTGTGCAGAGTATAATTATTTGAAATAATGTCAATATAAAAAACAATATCTAGCGGTGTGAGGCACTCCTAAACATGGTGGTATTAACCATGCTTTCCTTTGGTACAAGTCCCATCGCTTGGAGAGCCGCAGTTGCTGCTGTGGCTTTAGCATGCTTCTTATTAAGGCTGGCAAAAGTAGGCCTATATTCATTTCCATTGACTCTCACCTGTTGACAAAAGAAGAGGGGAGGGGGGAAGAAAGTGTTAGGAGGCACCCCTTTGCTTCTCCCAGGCAGCGCTACAGAGTTCCTTTAAGCACACCCTGTGTAATTCCACTTTGAGGCACACCAATTCCACAGCTGATCGGCCGGCATAATCGCTTCCAAATAGTAACTGCTAATGCAAGACATTACATGAAAAACAAACAAAAAGCCTCTCCTGTAAGGTAACTGAACAAAAATAACTAAATCTTACTCGCTGCACACTGGCAACAGTAAGACTTAACACCACACCAGCAAGTGAACAGCAAGAATATGAAACCACACAGGCTAATGATTTTACTAAGAAGTGAAGTAGTGTTTCTTGACATTTAGAGATTCATGTGCTCCAGAGATCTGATCTGACCATTAACAGAAACAGGACTTGAAATTCTGGCACTGAGACACCGCTTAGCAGTCCTCAGCCAACCCCTGAAGGGGCTGTGATGGTTATATACAAATATAAACGTGAATGTACAGGAATTTTCATCACCTTTAAGAAAGACCCCAAGAGCAAACAAGGAAACTCAAACACACCTTAAAGATAAAATGTTTGCGATGATCAGGCCCACTATCATCTACCAACACAAATTCAGGTGGTGACCATCTTCTTTTGTTGCAGATCTCCATCAATGCAGAAACTGGATGTTTACCTTAAAGATAAAATGTATTTGAAATCTCAATGCTGCTACCAAAGCAAACATTTAAAGTAAATTGCCTTTTTAGGCAAGTAAGAGTCTCACCTGAAAGATCCTTCATCACAACATAATGTCCAGATCTCTTCTGTGCCTTCTCTCCCACAGCAACAAGCCCTTAACAAAACACAATAAAGTTTACACGTATGATTCCCACCCAATTTCTGTATTCTCATCAATAACATGTTATCAGTGGAGATGAAACCTGGAGTCACGACACAACTGTCTTTTCAAAAGTCTTTCAAACATCCCTTTCATCCAGAATTTTTTTTCCCTGCTATACTACAGGTAACATTCTTCAACTGCTCTAGTAAGACTCTTGACAAGCCAGGTAGTAGAAAATTTCAAGTAGTCTTATGCAGATCAGGAAACACTTGGTTTCAATGGCTCATCCATTACCTTAATATTAATAGTATGCTCCTAAAATACTAAGCATTTGAAGTATTTACATTAAACAGTAAAAAGTGTACCTAGTATGGCCTTTTATGATATGAGTAACAGAGCAGTCTTCTTAAATGTGGTCTCTTTATCTAACAGTATTCAAATATTTATGCTTTATGTACAAGTTCACAGCCTGATTATTGTGATTTCAATCTCATCTGAACATAAAGCAGCAGAAAAGAATGCAACTGGGCCCCAAGTCAATACAAAGAGCACAAGCTCCAATGGAAGTCACCGTGGAACACAGAAGGTGTACATTTTTCTTTTAAAAAAATCTTACAAGAATAAGACATAAAATATAACAGCTGCCAAAAATGCATCAAACACCAGTAAACGTGCCCTGTTGATGAAGTGACTCGGGTTTCTTTCCATTCATATTGCTATTACCTTAAGCACAACATAAACAAAATACCTGACTTTTTTTGAGCATTTCTTGAGACTTTAATCCTTCAGCATTACTTTGTTTCTTACCTCGATTTGCTTCTGTTCCTGGCTTTGGTGAATAAAGACAGAGAGACACTGCAATTGTTTCTGGTTTCTTCCTATTCCTTTAGCTTTTTTTTTTTTTTGGTTGGTTGGCATTTTGTTTTGCTTTAAAAGAAAATGCTCCCCTCCTTCCCAGATTTTCACCCTAATATTCATGCAGCTCCTATGTAGGGACTTCATAAATGGCATGAAACCCCCATAGACTATCACTGAAACAAAATTTTTTTTCTTCTTTGCAAAATTTCATATGCAAATCAATGAAAGATTTCCACCAGAAAAATAACTTTTCTGTCATTCTCCACATTATTACTGTCTCTCTCCCAGTCTAAGTCACTGGCACTTGTCTTCCACATCTTGTCCCTCGTATCTCAAGAGATATTTTCAAAAAAGCTGCAACGGACTCCAGCAAACTCTGCAGATGAACCAAGCTTCTCTGAACACAGACAACCAACAATGTACCCATCTAAGAGCAAAGCTCAAGAAGGGTTTGGTTTTAATGCTGTCAGAAAACTACAGACCTCACTCAGTGTCTACAAGAAACAGGGTCTCAGTGAAAGCTGTGGCAAAAGCAGACAACTTTCTGGTTCACGTCTTAGAGCAGCCTACTGAGCAACTCCTCAGTAAACTGCTTGTTTTACTATCTGGAAACAGCACTTTATTTGAGGATTTAAGTTCTAAAACTGTTTAAAAAAACCTTACACAAGAAAAATGGGTTATTCAGTAAGAGACTCCTTTTAAAAATTTGACTTTTCTTTATACCTCTACACACAGAACTTTTAAAAATTTGACTTTATTTAAACATTTAAGCATCAAAGAACACTAATGTTTGAAGTAGTTTTTCAGCTACTCATCATAAATGTATAATCACTGTTCAGTTGCTTCTTTGTAAGGCATGAAACATGCTGCCTCTTCATAATGCGAATTGTCTCCCCATATCACAGACTTGGTTGGCACAATATTAAAAAGTATTCTGTATCAACACAGAACACCATTAGATTTTCTGTGGAAATTTTCAGGTAAGACTGCATATATGATAACAACAAAACACTTAAAACCTGCGAAATTAAAGCAAAACCCAGCCATTAGTAAGGTTATCAGTATTTTCAGATGAGTCTGTCTCATGCCAGGAAGAGGCATCCTTTAACTCCACCTAGCATTTTTACTTGTTGAAAACCGAGTGTTCTGAAGCAGAAAGAGCAAACCTCCTGATAGAGAATGCCCAGCACAGTAAGGACCTGATCCTGTCCCAGGCCTTAGATGCTTTATACTTTAGTTACCAAATGCTGAAAGTGTTAAGAACATTTGTATCAGAAACTGCACAAGGATCCTGGGGCACACTTCTAGAACTGGGAACTTGAGTTCTGACATAGCTGTCTATAACCCAAATGTTTTTAACATTCAAAAAGTCCACAGGTCATGCAGCAATACCACCTCTTTCCTCTGATGTGACAAGAAGCAAGCAACACAATGAACAGAGCTAACTCTCCCCTCCTCACCCCAAAAATCCATTGCTCTGTTATCAAGCCTGCTTGAGAAAATAACACTGAAATTTACTGTTTTCAACATCTTCCCTTTGACTGATATTAATCAAGCTAAACTGAAGGAACTCTTACTAGCAGTGAGAGCTTTACAAAAGAACTACAACGATCACAGTAACTAAGTAATAATAAAAAATATTTTTCCAAGAATTTCTTGGCAATCACTCTTTCACCAGTTTTTACTGTGGTTTTTTTCCCCCCCCTTTTTTTTTTTTTTGGTGGGGTGGTTGGGGTTTTGGTTTTGTTTGGGTTTTTTTCTCTTTCTGTAAACACAAATGTTGCACAGAAGAAAAACAGTTGAGAAGCAAGTTTGGTCATTGTTTGTTTAAAACAAAGATGTCCATTATTGTGTCTATGCTTTGAGACCGTTGCACTTCTCTATAAAACCATACTATGCTGCCGGAAGGTTTTCAGAATTTAGAAAGCAATGGATTTTTTCATAATATGGGCTTGCCTTCTCATTTTCTACCTCTTTGCACTTAGTATTTAAATTTTTACATTATATTTTCACTGCTACCTTAGTCACCTGAGCAGTACAGAACTATCTCTGTATTGAGAACAAAACTGACACCTATCGATTCCTCACACAGCATCTCTGCAAATAAACTTCACAACATCTGCATTTAGATGCTTTGTTTTTCTTCTGAGCTCTATTATGACAAAAGCTAACAGCAACTCATAATTGAAATTATCTTCAGGCTTTAATGTGATATGTAATCTATTTAATATATTAAAGGTTCTCAGTTTTAAAAAAAAATATTTGAGAACAAGAGTGAGAATTTGTTTTCCCAAGTCAGTCTTCAGTTGTTCGTTTTGGTAACGTGCATAATAGAACCATAAAATCATAAATCTTGACTGCTGAAATTCTGCATCTTGTATTTAAAATGGTCAGAACTTGTGTAGGTATTTCAGATGGAAAACTTTCATAAACATTCACTCTGAAAAAAGAACTCTTGCAGAAAATGCTGGTGATACAGCCAATTGCATAAATCACACTGCTAGCCTAAGCAGCAGCGTGCTGCCTGTGAATAGAAGGGTAGTTCTTTCAATGAAGTGAGACAAGTGCAACAGTTCTCCACCCGTGTCCACAGACTATATAAAGAAAAGGAGAAAACACTGCAAAAGCAGTCTTTGGAAACAACCAGGGGAACATCACTGTAGTTGAGTACAGGTGCCTGCGGCGAGATCAAACTAGGAGATGGATCAGCAGGGAGATGAGATGGACAAAAAAAGGAAGCAACCCATTTGGAAGACCTAAAAACATCATTATGGCAGCCTGTTCATGCCATGACTTCAGCTGAAAGGCAGCCCTAACTCGGGCTCTGTAGCTCCCACCTCTAACCTTCACACCAGTTTGAAACTTACTAAACTATTCAACATTCCATCCTACCCCACTCCTGCTTCAGCCGCTTTTCTCTAGACCAACCACAACAGCTTCTCCACAAGTCATTTCCCTGTCCACGCCCTCTCCACACATCTAACTGAAACACATCCCTAATTTAAGAAACACTGAGAAGCACTTTTTTAAAATGGAAGGTGAAGTTTAAGGGCAAGTTAAAAAACGTCTGGAAGAGTTCATGGGCCTAAGCACAAAGCCTATATACATAGTCCAGGGCTTGAAAAAACCATAACAAAATCGTCTAGGTCATTCTGTTGATTTTTAGAGGGAAGTTGTACCCAGAAAAAGCTTATGACTTTGACGTGATATTGCCCACCTCCAAAACAGACATGGGAAGTTTATACTGCCGTAAGACACTTCAGGAAGGGCTTACCTTTTCGATCCGTCTTAAAATCGACCATAATAGGCTCAACACTGCCTTCTTTGTTTTTTCCGAGCCCTTCTCCTTCTCTCCAGCCCATTTTTCTCATCAGCTGAGCTCCCATTCCTCCAGTTACAGGGGCTGCTCTTAAGAACTGATCCTATCCAGAAAAATAAAAGTAAAACAAGTCCTAAAGTTAGCACTGGGATGTTAAAAAATAAGTGGGAGCTTAAAAAAAAAAAAAAAAAACAAAAAAAAAACAAAAAACCAAAACCCAACATTTCTAACAACCTTTCACAGACTCAATTCAAAAAAAATACACCTTAGCTTTATATACATTAACATTTTGTATAAACCAGAATGCACGCAGACACACAAGACACAAATCAGTATTTTCAAAAAAGAACAACTTAAGAAAATTCTAATGCAATCCAAGAGTGGCAAGTGACCCATTTCAGACAGATGTATTTAATAAAACGATAACCGTCCATTTTTAAACACGCTACTTTGGTTCCAATGCATCTCTTCTCATCTTGTGAAAGGAGGCAGTGTTAACTGTTTAACTGGCAACATGTGTGCCAAGTGTACCTAGTTATTGAACAAAATACAAGCACATTTAGTAATGACATTCACATAGTGTTCAGGCGTATTTTAAATATAAAAAAAAAAAAAGTTTCCCCGTTTTATTATACAGCAGTTGCACATTCAAGTTCTACTCTGAAAAGCCACATGAAACATACAGGTCTTTTTTTTTTTTTTTTTTTTTTAAGGAAAATCCGCGCTTAGCCACACAGTTTAGCAGCAGTAGTCTTCACATTCTTTCAAATCATCATTAACATAATAGTTGTTAAATGGTGAAAGCTTATAAACAGAAATTTTAAAAATCTGTTTTGATGTAAAGAACTTTAAAAACTCTCTTAAATGTTTACGTACCTAGGCCTCGATGGCCGCAGTGTTGTGAATAGTAGGGCTGGCATTGACCGTGGCAAGAAGGCAGCTACAAGGATTTGACCCTGAAACAAGTTTCCATATAGAGGGGTGAAAGTTCACAGGTTATTCTGTGAACTATCATCTCTCTTCTGCCCCCCCCACTGACCCAAGTAAGTAAGTCAATCATTTCCATCACAGCAAAAAATTGCTTGCCTTAAAATATACAAGTTTACACACTGGCACTGATAAGTCCATCAGTTATTTTGCACAGTAGGTTAGATGATACAATGCCTAGTATTTTTGTGAAAATTTTACTCACTATCAAAGCAAATTAATAGAACTTTTTTTTTTTTCCTTTTGAGTTGTGTTTGCAAAAGTAAGCATTTCCCAGATTTCGACAAAGGACTGACAGGTCATTGGTTTCGATTTGTACGTAAACAAAACCAGAAGTCTTACTTTTGCAGAGACTAAGGATAATGTATTTTTAAGGGGATTTCAAACTGGCAACTGACACACACTAGTGATGTATGTGTGTAATCCCCATGAGCACAGTGTTAAAAAATTTAACCAAAAAAAAAAAAAAAAAAATTTGCTTTAGATTGTGGCGGGACTTCTCCAAACAGTAAATGCCTACCAATCATGCAACCGGATGCTGCATTTAAGAACAAAGTGGTCTGGTGGAAAAGCAGAGAGGCCAAGTGCACCTCTCCAGTTCAACCTTTTTCTGACTGGTGCAGACCATGCAGTGTGTGTGCGTGTGTGTGTCTGTGTACACAGAGACAATCAGTTTCTTCCATACGAGCTGCCTCAATCTATACACCTAGAATGGCTTTTACTTACTTCCATTTTCATCCTCCCCTCTCTTTTCCAGGAACCTCTCATAAGAAAAGGGCAACCATGCCGAGAATGATACAAACCCCAGTCAATGTCACCCTGGGTTCCGATTCCTCTTTTGCACCTGCTTTGCAATGATAGAATTTTCAATATAAACATCCGTTTCATTACCACCAGTGTGTATTCAGTTCACAAATGGTAAGAGTGCAATTTCTTGATGAGGTCGTTTGAACATTACACAGCTTTCTCATCACACCTGTCAATGTACTAATTCAAGGGTTCAGAGTGGTGCAGAAAGGAGAACATCATCAAAATACTCCTGTTAGTAGTTAAAAATCAAAGCCTTGAGTTCCTATTAGGAATTGCCAGAGCCTGAACAAATTCCAAATACTGGAAATGAAAAGAACTCTAGAATTTAGAGTGCCGTTAATTAAAAATACTTTTCTAATGTGTGAAATCAGAATCCTAGCCGATAACTTTAACAGGAATTCCTTACACTATGCTGACTCAAACCCCTACACCAGAACCAAGACAACAAGGCATTTGAAATTGTTTCATTACAGAACAGCTGCACTTCTGCATCACACTGAAAGTCTGAATGAAGTAATTTTGGTAACAATGGCAAAGGAGCCAGAAGAAGCCTACTTTGATTCAGTTTACTGAAGAAGCAAAGAAGGACTGCAGCAGGGCAAAAGTTTGTGGGATTTTTTTTTTTTTTAAAAGGATAAACTGAATATAAATTTCTGATGTCAACTGAATATAAATTTCTAATGTCACCTGGACAATTATATTCTCTGTCACTATTTTTTTAAATCATTTAATGACTAACAGTTTCACTCAGACCATGTTCATACACTATGAGTAAAAACTAGTGCCATGTTTTTAAGTGCATTTGAAAATAAAAAATAGTAGGAACATTAACAAGAGCAGGGAAGCAAGGTATAAATTTCTTTTTGGTTTTGAAATCACAAAGTGACAAGTCTCACATAGCTAATTAGCAGCTATGCATCCTTGCAGATCTGACTCATAAAGAGGATATCAAATGGAAAAGTACAATACAACAAACGCCCAGGTTTCCAAGTATTTGGTTACCGTTGTCAAAATCAACTAATTATTCACAAAATAATTGTTTTCTTTCACTCACTGAACTCAATTTGAGTAAGCCTATGTGAAAATTCAGTATCATTTTTCTCATCTTTTGATCCCTAAATTCCATGAAAGGTCAGCAAATCAAAGCACACTTCCATTCTGCCAGCAGATGGAGACAAATAAGTCACATTCTTGTGTCCATACTTATTCTTTCAAAAGAACACTGAACAGTAAAATGTTAGGGTTTTTTTTTAGTAATTTTAACTGAAACTATTCCTTTTTTAAAGATACCTTAGGACAACAAATTTTGGGGGATATGAATGCCTGAATTAGCATTTAAGGGCTTTAACAAGAAAACTCAAGAAAAAAAATCACACCTGAAAGATGATTTTACAGGTTTTTTTCTGAAACACAACACAAGCTGGACAGCCACCATCTAACTGCCAAAGCAGCCTTTGGGGAAAGGACAGCATGCAGCATTGAAATGAACAATCTAAAAAAACAGCACTCGCAACATCCAAAATCTTCAAGCTATAATCATTTGAGAGATCTTATAATACAGCCTCAATTTCTGCTCTCTAAAAAGAAATTACCTAGTCCTTCTCACAATGCTGATGTGGCACTCAAACCTAAGTTCTGTCAGAGGGAAGATTTATTTCTTTTGAGCTGTAATTTATTAAGCAAAAGACAACAAAATCTTAAAGGCACTATATGGACAGTTTCAGCTGCAGCAAACAGGCTGTCTCAGAGATTACTTTAAGACTAACTTGGAAAAATTTCTGTGAGTCAAGTACCAGCAATAAGCCTCTATCTTTGGCAAAACATTTGCAGAGTCGTTAATTTTGCATGAAATAAACTGACATTTTTAGCAGCAGCCACATTCCTTCCCCAATATGAGAGAGGAAGAGTATCTTTCTGAAGAATGCCATCAAATGTCTTATAAAAACTATGGTCATGATCACCTTCAGGCTTTCTGTTCACAGCTTTTGCATACCATGAGGGGAAATAAACTGAGGATAACTGGAACCAGAAACATTCTGAGGACTGCAGCGGACGCCAGTCACACATAACTAACACGTAGTTAATTTGCCTTGCCACGTGGCCTTCGCTCCCAAGGAAAGCTCACTGTGTCACCTAAGGCAACAGGAACACAAGTGCTTTGATGACCTCTCTTACAAGGTCAGCAATCCTTGTGCAAGTGACAATCACAAAACTTACTTTCACCTCCATCGTTAGCCTGAGTTTTACTCATCTGCTGTGACTGTGGAAGAATGGAAGGAACACTAACTTTCCAGAACTTGTTACTCAAACAGGGGATTCTAATGGCCATAGTAAAACTGTCTGCTATGCTTTATTTAGCACAACTGAATGAAATGGATCCCAAGCATTATATAAAACACTGCAGAAACCTTGTTTGGGAGAGCAGGTTTAGGCTACACAATTAAGCTGATAAATCCAGAAACAAGTGGTGAGTCTGGGAAAGTCTGAGCAAGTAGACCTCAACAGAATTTGCTTGGAAAAAAATAATTGAGCACTTCCTCTGATGTGACATTAGTCAGCAGCATAGTGTATTTGTAAGAAAAAAAAAAAGGAAAAAAAACAACGTCCAGGACAAGTCGTATTTGTGAACTGATTACACCAATGATAATAATTTGAAACAGAAACCACTTTTCAAAAGAGAAGGATAAAATTGTTCATAAATTTGTTTGAACGATACAAGAAACCTAACAACATATTATTACTTTACGAATAGTGCTGAGAACCCTACATGTGAACATCATGAGTTAGCACGTTAGAAAACCACACCGTACTTCTAATTGGTACGTCAGCTGCTCAGGTATGCCACGTTAACCGCTTCAGGGACTCATTCCCTCAAAACTTTATTGAGATAAAACTGAAATTGCAGGTCTATTTTGGTTTGAGTACATATTACCTCTCCAGAGTCATTTTTAAAGTAAAAAAAACAAGCTGAAAGCCAAGAAATGCAAAGTGAACACAGTGCTTATCAAACAAATTCCCAAATACTTTAATTCTTCTCCCCTCCTGACACAGCTCTTCCTTTTTGTTACACCTATCTAGTTTTGTGATTTATCTGCCAAGAACAATGTCTGTACGTGTTCTAATGCTTTGTTTAATGCTACACAAATAACTAGCTGACACGGGCTCTGTTTCTGCTGAACAGTGCATGGCCACAAGTCCTCTTACGGAAATTGCTTATGACATCTCCAAAGACATCTTCAGTCGGAAACGTGCGTTAATTTACACATACAACATGCCCCAGGAAACACCACAGCCCTTCTAGTGCATGTAAAATTAAGAAATACTACTGGTTTTTTGATGTTAAAATGCATTTTCTTAGGACAAAAAAAGGGAATACAAATTTAACTTTTCCATGCTGCATTACAAAATTAACAGGATCTAAGTTATACAGCTTCAAGTGACTTAGTAAAATACAACCTGTACTTTGCATTTCGTGGTTAGTTTGCATTCATATCACTGAGAAAGATAACATGCATTCATAACCCATTAGCCCTACTTCACTTCTTTTTGTGGAATCACTCTCTAAACACACGATGTTACTCCACATTAAGTTCATCAAAGCTAAATTTTGTGAAAGCTTCCACAGGCCTCATGATTCCTACAGAAACACACACACAAAAAGAAACCCACCCAAACCAGGGCAAGTCTTGTGTAGCCCCTAATGAATTTTGTAGAGGGCATGTGACTGTAACTACTTGTCATCACATGAATTTGATGGCAATGTGCGTGCAAATATGGAACCTGGAAAGAGCAAAAGAAGTCAAGCTGAGGAATGCCAGAGCAGGAAAGAGGACTGTGTCCTCATCATCTTCACCCAACAACTCTTCTTGTTCCCAGCAGCAGCCTCCTTTCTGACAAACCAAACAATGTGCTTGCTAGGGAGGAGGCTTACTACTGCAAATTACTACATTTTTACAGCTATGCGAAGGACGAAGTGCTTCTGCCAGCTCTCTCTTATTTCTAGATTCAACAAAATGTTCCATTATGCTTCTGTTCCACACAGCAGTCATGTCCACAAGCCAGAACCCAAACTCTTCTCTCATTTTCACCCTATGAAGTGTTTTATAGGGTTTGTGTATCGGTTTGTTTGTTTTTATTTAGAAGCAGATCATGGAGTGAAGTTAAAAGATCGAGGGAGAACAGGCCTCTGTTCTCCACTTAATTTTTGTTAGCGGACACTGCTGTCACTGTAAGGCACAGAAGACCAACACAGAACCTCAAGGAATGACAAGATGAGAAGAGGAGGCATGGGAAAGAGATGATTGGAGTTGCTCCCTTTCCACTGCCTTGGGAACTCGCTCAAGACACTGAATGGGATAACCCTCCTAGGCTTGCTGATCTCTTTCACAAGCCTCATGATGGAAAAGCTCTCCTCTTCCCACCAATACTTCCCTGCCGAGTGCTTTATATGTCTAAGTTTTTCTGCCAGGAACAATTATCACAATCATCCAAGTCAACATTTTGTTACAACCTCAAAAGTTAATAATTATTAAAATATTACTCTACTATCTATGCTCTGTATTAATACTGAGAAGAACCCAAACTGCTCCCATCTAGCAAGTAACTCCAATCTCTGTGCTGCCTGGCTCTCTGTATTGCTTGGCTATAGAACGTGGAAAAACAAGTTAGTGAATCCTAGCAAAAAAAATCTTCTATTTTTAGGATGTTGTAATTCCAGACTTTTGTGTTCAGTTTACAGCAAGTTTTATGCAGAATTCTACTTAAGCCTCAATTCTAACCTACTAGTTTTGAGGGTTGTCTTCACACTGTGTTCTAGAAGGGTAAGCAGATACAGTGTATACTCCACTACATCACTTGCAAGACTGACCACTGTAACTCATACTTTTTGCCTGAAGGATGGACATTGCTTTAATTCCTCAGTTCTACTTCTTGAAAGAGAACCAATTCATTATTCATTTTTAAAGATGAAGCATGAATTATTAAACTTATAAAGTGCATGTATGTATGACACACCACACCCCAAAAATAAGCCAGTATTAGTCTGCAGTACGAGGTAACTATTCCACTGTAGGATGACATTAAACTTCTTAACCCAGCTGCAACTCCTGGGTTAATATCCCAAATCTTTGGCTTCCAGAAAACCCTGGTGATACAAATAGAGGCAAAGTAGCAATCACACAGAACCAAGTCAAACAAAACGGCAGTTTGGGACTTGGTTCTCTGACGTTGATGCCAAAACATCACTGACGTCAACAACATCAGGATCAAACCTTGCCTTATCTGTTCCAGTCCTGTAAAAGTAGTGATGGACCTACCACTGCAAACATACCAGTATCAGGAAAGTCATTTCAGTGTAAGGTAACGGTATATATGAACCAATCTGACTCAAATATCAGACGCACACCTTATTGAAGTACTCTGTCATGAGCAACACCTTAATGCACAACAAAATGGACACAGCAGCAGCAAGTATCTAAACTGATCAAAGACAGCAATTTAACTCAACCTGTTGTATTTGACACATGCATTACCACAGGTTTTTAAGGCACATCTTTTGCATTTTCCGATACTTCCACTGCTATTTAAAATGTGACAGTTAGACAAGTATGTCTGCATAACTTCTACCTTTCTAATCCACGCTTGAGGACCACTGTTGGTTAGCTCATCCGAGGACAGTATCTGTGCTCCAGTACTTCCTGTGAACTGGCCAGGTATGGAGTTTGATTGAGCCCAGGCGTCAATCTACAAAATAAAAATAAAATGTAAGACCAAAATAAAAATTTGTACGTTTTTCTTTTGCGATTCTCTGTTGCTTCTCACTCATTCTCCATGAGGACTCCTCACACTTAGTTCTTTGTTTAATAACACTCATTTGTACGCAGATGCTCCAAAAAAGCTGAGCATCTTTGTATGTTAACTCTAAAGTATGAGCTCAAAGTCTTGAAACTCCATGGTTCATGGTTTGCTTATCCTCAAAATCAATGTTGTGAAGTGCAAAATAAAGGCACATTTTTTAACCATGTGCCCATAAATGTGGCTTCCAAAAACCTGTACTTAAATACCCAAGGAAAAAAAAAAAAAAAAAATCAGCTGCTATAAAGGGTAAACATTTACTTTCATCAAAAAGCTGGACATCAAGTTCATCAAAATGCCAATGAAAAAGTTCAACGTACCTGTTCTTGTGCACGATTTAACATGCACATGGCTTCTAAATCAAATGTATTCTCATTAAGCCTTTTCTGAGCCAGTGCTCGATCGTTCATAGCTGTAGTTATGTCCACACCCTAGGAAGAAAAATATTATTTAAAAAAAAATATATCAGACCACAATAATGTCCCTCTGATCTGGAAGAAGCTGTTATAGAATAAATGCCAAAAATACTACAAAGTTGTTTTACACATTGAACAGCTGATTTGATACATAAATAGGCAACGTGAAAAAAACACTAGGAGTTTTTGGTAAACATATACAAGATGGGCTTTTCTAAGCAAATACAAAATCTGAAGTATAACACCCTGAAAATTTAGTATCACCTGTACATACAAAATATCAAAAGAACTGTTTTCAGAAAACTATTTTGATCACAAAAAGTTTTGGTGTATAATAAATAAATATGGAAGCATATTGTTCAATGGAATCTAACTCACCAACAGAATTAAATGCAATTTAGTTAAGAATTAAAAAAAAAAAAAAATCCTTCACACAGAGCTGTTCACATAAGCCTCTAAAATTTCAAGTTATATGTATAAAAAAATTACAGCAAGAATCACATATACTACATGAATTTGGCTTTAGTGTTTTAAATTCTAAACTTCAGCCTAAAACAGGTTTAGCCTAAAACAGGCTTGCAGAAAAGTAAAACCAGTCTGGCAGCTCATAAATTTTACTGTTTTGGAAAGGATTATTTACATCTGTGCTGCTGAACTAGAATAGAATTTACAGAAAAATAAATGTGAAACTACCTTACACATATTAATCAGAATTATCTGGGTAAAAATACAGAGTAAATGAAGAAGCTCAATGCAAATCTCTATGTGCAATGCAAACGAGAGAAATCCAAAACATTTGGGGATATAAAAATGTAGCAATTATGGCTACTATACAGCTGTTTTGTAAAATAACTTGTGCCTTGTTCTTCAGTTGATGTGCATTTTATGGATCATTCTATTTTGAAAGGAGAAAAAGAACAGAGACAAATGAAATTTCTTCAAAGATAAGCATGTGAAGGAGACTGAAAGGGATGGAACTGTTTGAAGCACAGAAAAAATCCAATAATGGAAAGAGCTGGTGGCATACATACAACATAAATTATGGTTTAACTGGGTTTTTTTATAAATTATTTTACAAAGGACTTCTGTCTTTTGTTAATTACTATCTCATAACCTTAGCGTTGCACACATTATAGTAGAATAAAGGACCAGTAGAAGAAACTGGAGCTGATTTGAAACTAATTTGACTCTGCTGAACAGAAAAATAAAGTTAATCCACAAAATCCCTGCTACATGAACCAAGTCAAAAATTTAGCAAATGCGAAAAACCAGTAAGAAACAGATATGAATATCTACAGTTGCATAAAACAGAATCATTATTTTTGTATTGACTATTAAATATTATTTTAAGACAGGAGATTTTTTTTTTTTTTTTTTTTACTGTTTAGGATATAAAGTATTTCTGTTGGGAAGATCCCTGCCGAAACATCTGGCACTAACCAAGACAGACTTTAAATGCCAGAAATCCTACGTGTCTACGAAACTACCGTCAGTATTTGTTTATTGTCCCAGCTGACAAAAAACAGATCATGAACAAGGCACAAGAAGAAATAAAATATTTTCTAACAATCACCTAACATGAGCATCATATAAGTAAAAAAATGCCTGTTTAAAATACACACTTTCTTGAGTTAATAAGTTTACCATACACAGTTAAAATAATTCTTCAATGTTTTGTCTGTGAAACTGGTTCAGGAGAAAAATAAAAGTTAATTCTACTCACCAAAGCTTCAATCCAGCAATACACATAGGCATGCAAGTAGTCCACTGAAACCACATTGGGACCACTCACATACTTAAACATACATGTGTACTTTAGTGCTTTACCGGACTGGGGCCTATTAGTAGATACCCTGGTTAGTTAGAATTCCCATACACTTTCCCCACATGGCCAGTCACCATTTTGGAGACCATCATGGCTTTGTATTATGTCAAGACACTCGATGGCAGCTTTGGATCTTGAAAAAAAAAAAATCTCTGCTTGAAGTATGAAAAGTTATTATTTAGTCAAGTCAAACAGTTTCAAGTTCTGCATGCTATTCTCCATAAGAGTTCTGCCTTTCCAGTCCTGGCTTTTAGTATTTCCCCACAGACACAGACCACAAATATTGAAGCAAGAATGAAGAGGCTGACAATAGAGAGCAGGCATTTCTGACATATTTCATAGGTCCACCAACACACCGAATGCATTTACTATGTTTTTAGATCATAAGGGCTTCTCTGTGTAAGTCACCTCTGTATACTCCAAACTTAAACACAACACTCCAACTCTATACTTCCAGACTTTCAACCATAGCTTCTTTCTCATAGGTTTCTTTAGCTTCTAGAGACATGCTGATACTTCAGATTAATCAAGACTTTTTCCCCTCCATCTCCTACTACCACAAATAACTATATTGAAAGCACAATGCTTTATTAAGACAATTCGTAATACGTTAGCAGGGCCATTTCAGACTGCTTATATCCATAACTAATTCTGTGATTTGAATAAAAACATAATAATAAAACCAATTACATTTTTTCCATGTCAATATAGACTTGCATGAGAATTGTCACAAACAGATTTCAAAATCAGCAACAACGAATGGAGGTACATTATATGTCAAACTTGCTGAAGGATCCAAGTGCACTCCACCACTACCCTACGCCAACAGCAAGGGACTCACGTGGCTTATTTTGCTCAAAGTAAGCCATTCCATCCACAAAGAGTCCTCATAAGCATTTAAAAAACTGAACAGAGAAGCTCTCAGTTACCTTCAGACTCCCTGAAGAAACATGCAGGGATTCTGCTACTACAAGAGTATTAGTGTATTTCAAAATTAAGGACTGTCTGACCCAAGGGGATGGTAAACTCAGCTGTCAGCTAATGACCCTTGAAATCACCCTTAACACAAACCAAGTTAAGGTAAATGCAAATAAAAATATTTATTCACACAATATAAAAACAGACAACATTGTTACAAGCATTTATAAAGATACACATGACAGAATGGAAAGAAAGTTAAATTTAATATATTTACTCCAATGTCAATTTTTAAGGCCTCTTCTACATAATCAATACACAAACGATCAGTGTTTAGCTCACCCCATTTGCCAAAGACACGAGCCTAGAGTCACTGGCAACCTGGATGCAGACATCTACAGAGCTTGCCTAAACTAGGAGCATATCATTAATCATTTGAAGGATGAGACTTTTTACCTCCTGGTAAGAATCTGGCCGTAGTATCCAGCATTTCTGTACTCTGGAATTTTTAGATATATACACTAGTAACTGGGAATGACATTCTGCACAAATATTTCAGGATGTTTGTCATGTTAGTGGTTTGTGACAAACACCAAAGAGCAGTCGCCATCTGTACTGAGGGAACAACGATCATCGTTGAACAATGGTGCCTGATCATCAAACTCTGAGGTACACAGTGAAAACGTCTGTTGAACGACTTACATTCACTGTGCTTTTGGTGCTGTAAAAGACACAGAATATACCTTCTGTGCTTCAGGAAGTGAATGGTACAATCTTTGGAAGTTCTTAAAAAACAAAATGCCCCAAGTGAGAGACTCTTCCGTCAGAAATTGATGTCAAGGGTTTTTTATGACCTTTGAAAGGTTTGAGAACTAGTCTTCAGATGGAGTGAGGTTAACACCAACTTGAAAAAAATTTACATCTGCTTTAAATATTTAATTTACTTAATTAGAAAAACCCCACAAAGTATCCTTTTGAAGATATTTCAAGCGGGAAACCATTTCTAGGGTTTTTTTTTTTTTTTTAGTTTATTATACATACAACTAGATTTTCCTTTGGAAGGCCACATGGAAGACAACTATGTAAAAAAATGTGACTGTAAAGCTAAAAAATTAGTAGACACATCCAAATGAAAAGGCAGTTTTGGAAACTACCTTCAAATGTGGTTTTAATGGATTACATTTCAATGCAATGTTATTGCTCTAAAAGTGGTAGGACAATACTAATTATTATTAAATTTATAATTCTGAAAGTCTCAACATAGTGTATTAAGTTCTGCAGGACACTGAACAAGAAACTTGCTTTTCATCATAAAGAAAATGTTTGCATTCTATTGAGACAAAGAAGTCACTAGTCAACAAAAGAACACAGTACAGGTACAGGTTGCTTCCATCCTCGGCCATGTGAGCACGGTGACCAAATCTGAAGACCACATAAATTCAGATAATCAACTTTTTAAAGTGTTAGATACTACCTATGTACGCTTTTTTTTTTTCTTCACAGACTTCAATTTGACACCAGACTGACCAGGTAACTGTTTTGGTTTTCTTATATGATATGCTTTCCTTCCCTTCCTTACCTCAATGGATGGTTTGGGGAAAACATCATCCTTGCTTTCTTCTTTGCCTTTTTCAACTGGAACCCATTCTCCATAGACACTATCTGTTTCTTTTTTCCTATGTTGAGACCCAGATGAAACAGGAAATTCCTTTGACAGGCTGACTTGATTTTTTGGTTGTGGTGGTGGTGCTGGTTTTATGCTGGGAGTCTTAAAGAAATAAAATTAGAAAAAGTTAAAACTTGCAAAACCACATAATACAACATGCCTTTGAGAAACAACTGATTGCATACACTTGGTATGTTTTCATAGAACAGTCCTCCTTCTTACTAACATCAAACCAAAAGCCTTTGTAACAAAACGTTTTAGCACAGCCCTAAAAACACACAAGGAACAAATTGCAGTACAAGAGAAGATGAAACAGCTAGAAGCTAAAACTGCTTAAATCAGCTGCAGCAGACAAAAATCTGCAGCAAAACCTTGCTCACAATGAACCTCCCTGCTTTAACTCCACCCCATCATAAAAAGATCAATCTTAGTCTGCCACACATGCATTCTGTAACAGAAAGCTCCAGAATAAAAATCCTGGCTGTGATATTCACATGACAAAAAGCTCTACGTTACTATACATATTGTATATGCTATATATATTATCTATAGAGAAAGCCATTTTCAACATTTTGTTTTCCAGTCTTTGATTTTTTTTTTTTTTCATAGCAGCACTAACCTCAAAGTAAATTAAGTCCAAGAGATTCTTTTCCTTAGAAAGGAATATGCTAAGAGTCCACAGAAATCTGACAGGTTCCTATTCTAAGAGGGAAACAGAGACCAGACAGCTCACAATGTTGGGTAAACTCCTACCAAAGGAACACGCCCAGGAATGGTAGAAAGACTGGAATCCAGAAAGAATGATACTGAAAGAGTCAAAACTGGAAAACAGGCAGAACAGCCTACAACCACTAAAGATCATGCCTCTTCAAAGCCTGTATGGACTTCTTCAGTTTCATCACACCTCCTTCTAACGGTACAACATCAAGGATAAGCTATTTCTACCTTACATCTTACATAAATATGTATTACTGCCTATTTTGCATACACCACAAGCTATAGATATTTGCATCATAAAAATATAAATGCCACTTGTATTTTCACTCTCCATGTTAATGGTTTTATAGTACTTTACACCCTGCAAATTCAAGGCAGATTTTCATGGGCACAAAAAATATCAAAAACATATTTAATCTAAAAATTTCTAATCCACTGTCCAAAGCATACAAATCCTAGGTGCACTTAAAGAAAAGCTCCCTTACTTTATTCCTTCCAACATGCTAATATCCATCAAGTGTTAACATGAGCTCCAACAGAGCCAAGAGCAGTCACCCAAGGAGAGGGTTTAATCTAGACATCTAGACCCTCTTAATAACAGTCAACATTAGTGATCCTCATCCTGTACACAACATTTACTTCTCCACTAGCTGATCTCAAACTGAACAAAACTTTTTTTCTCCTTCAGCGAACACCTGAGATCTACTGAAGAAGACAAAAAAAATTTGAATTCTGCACAAAGCTGATGGCATCTACTTAGAACACCTCAAAATGTTTTTAGAATTTTGCTGTGGGATTTTTGTTTGTCAAGGAAATGCTGTTTCAAAAGCATTTCCCAATTCCAGTGCTGTTTGTAAATTCATAATGATACTTCTGGAATGAAAACATGAAGTAAAACCAATCATCTTTATGTTATTTAAGTTTTAAAAGTTGCAAAGACTTTAATTAATGAAAAAACAAACCACAGTTTCAATGCAATCACAATAATTACCACATTTTCAGACTGCAACTAAGTTCCTTATTGTAGCAAGAGTACTTTTAACAACACTGCAGTGCACTTTCACCAAGAATATCAATCCCTGTTTAATTCATGTAAAGTTTTACTTGCACTCTTTTAAACAACCTGTAACTTAAAATATTGAAAACTAAAGAAGTACTCACACTTAAGTTGAAAAAAATAGGTTTGGGTTCACTGAGCTTAAAAGGATGGTTATAGAAAGGACGCTCCTCCTCCTCTTCATCAGAAACATGAGGCTTATTCACTATCACATCATCTGTGCTTTGAGCAATCTTCTTGCATTTCTGGAAAAAAGGAAAAAAAAAATGAATGTGAGAGCTCTGAATAAACCTGGACTTTCAACTACAACATAAAAAAAGTTTTACAAAATGTTCGAAAGAAAAAAAACTCTTTCCTTTCTAAAGCAGGATGTATAAACTGAGAAAATCTCCTGGCAGTATCATCAATGTATGTTTTAGATTTTATACACATTATTAAATTACCTACCTAGGTTTGCTAGACACTTGTGCAGCAAATAGTTTCACAGATGTAACATTTCAGTAGCATACCGTAAAACGTCCTACACAGCACTAGTTGCAGAATGTATGTCTAAGGCTGCAGAATAGGAACTCACTGGTTGCTTGGCATCCCATGTAACCAGCATATTGCAATTGGACAGAAACTTCAGTATAACTCAAAAATAGTACACAACAAAAACACAGAAGTAATAACTACTAATTCTAAGTTCCACTGGTAGTGCAGCAACATAGTCAGACACGATGGCTCTAAAAGATCTCAGATTTCTGATATCTTTTTGATGTTCACCAGGTACACAAGACAGAAGCTGAATATAAAACAGGTGCTGTGGGGATGCTACACTTAAAAGAGGAAAGAACCTCCAAGGGAAAAAAAAAAAAAAGCCATTCTAGAGAGTCTAGGATTTTAGGATTAAAAACTCTTTATTGATCATAGTTATCAGCACTGAGTGCTTACCAGTAAGAACTATAATTCGATAAGTTCAAAATCCGTTTGAGAACATTGTAGTCTAGTATCATGCTGCTATTACATTCCCACGAGAAGTGGGGACTTACAAGACATTAGAGAACACAATACTTGAGAAAATTATACTGGCAAAGTGAAGCCATTATCCAAGTTGATTCTAATTCAAGTTTATCCGTCCCATCTATTTGATGACTTGATTGCATGTAAGGAACAAAGAGACAGCTCCATCACTAAAAACCAAGGCACATTGATGGCACTGTTCTCATCAGTCCTTCCAAGGAAAGATCCCTGCACTCCTCTGTGCTACAACACTTCCAACCAATGACTGAAGCACATTCTTTAGACAACAGGAAAAGCCTGCATTACTGGGAAAGCTAATCAACAAAATGCATTCTGTATAATTATTAGTTGACTCTAACTGGAAGCAGCTTGTCCAGTTTGCAGGTTACAATGAACAGAGGAAAGATAATTCAAGTATTGCTGCAAGAAGCTGATCAGGTTCTGGAAGGGTTCTCCACTTGAGCACACCACCATTACACAACAGCCTAGACTGCTTCTGTGGCCAGTTCTGATTCAACAGAACAACAATGTCATCCAACAGATGCCCACAGCTGGCGAGGGCAAGGAAAGGGCAGGGTCTGGGCTACCAAATCAGCACTAGCTACACTGGATCTTGGTCTTGATTTTTATTAACAGGATTACAAGAACTACCAATATGTAGTAAATTAGAACAGAATCAAAACAAACAAACAAAAAAAGCAAAAGACATGGATTTCATGCACTTCCATGGGAATAAAAAGCCCATCTTCATTACTTACCAAAAAAAGAAAAAGTCTGGAGAACAAGGGCTCAAATCACTCTCCAGCTTACATGCAGATCAAGCACACAGAATAATGGCTTGCCTGGACATCACAAAAACCCCTATGTGCTTATTTTTAGGGTTGATATTGTTGTTCCCTCTTACCTCAGTGAGCTCCTTTAGTGTATCTCTTGATGACTTCTGATTGGCTTTGTCGTCTTTCTTTTGAGATAACAAAGGCATCAGGCTTGGTGGTAATGGAACACCAGACTTAGCACACATGGCAGCCGCATTAGCTTTGGCTATTTCAAGTAGCTGGGCCTTGTCTAAAAAAATATTTTTTTTTTTTTTAGAGAAGATTATTATCTTTACATATTCATTATTAAATAAGCATTTCTAGCAAACTAAACAAATTACAAAGAGAAAACATGAGATTTTACCCACACTGTCCCTTCTTATGTTCTGTGAAAATAACTAAAATTGTACTTAGCTGCTCCAGACTTTTTAAGATTTGGTCTCCCCAACAGACAAGCAAAACTGCAAATCTAACTCAAAGCACAGGAGTCCAAATTGCAGCATTCAAAATCCTCCAAACCCCTGAAGTTCTGATGCAGATTTTACTTCACCAATTCAATCCAGTTTTGGAAATACGGTGTCATTGTACAGACCATAAATCCCAGTCTACTTCCTGCTTATCTCTAAAAAGCATTCAAAAGTCCTTGAGGAAACTCTCTCAAGTCCCCCAGTACATAGACTGAAAGCTCCTTACAACTAACCAACAGAAAGACATCAGCACTGAATAAAACGTGCGTTTGTGTTAAATACTATTAAACACAAAACTGCTAACAGAACTGTATTTTGCTTTATTAACAAAAAGGCACATGTGGCCCTATCATATATGGACAGAAAAACTATGTTTTATTTCACTGATCTGCCAGTCTGCAAATAAATGAGTTACCGGTATCTCAAGTTCATGAAAATCCTAAAAGGACAATACTTCCTTTACTTAAGCAACAGAAGTATATAGATACAGACTCGCTGCATAACCATGCATGAAGGTAGATTCAAGGATGCTAATCAATTCTCATGTTCTGTACAAAAATACTTCTCTGGCAGAGGGGACGGGACTAAAAGGATCAGAACCAGAGATCCACAAAAGGAGGCTTCCTCAAACACTGTGCAAGAGCTTGTCTCTCAGAATCAAAACCTTCTCTCTCCTTATGTAACATAGTTCCTAAGGAAAGTGCAAGGTCTCTCCTCCTCCAGTCACACAGAAAAGACAGAGTTCCTTAGGACTTTTTTTTTTTTCCAGTCAGCTGGGTCTGGGAATATTTTCAAAACTGAGTCTGTATTCCCACTAAGTTCTTCCCATGGGAAAGACGCAAGGCAGAGTAAAGGAAACAAACGAGCATTACAGCTGAAAACAGACCTACGGACTCTTCAACTGGCACTTACTTTCAAACCTTCTTTCCTGCCCGATTTATTCTCAGGAAAACCAGAAATTCCAAAGTTCCTTACAGAATACTTGGCCTTTACTAACTATTACAACAAAAGAGTGTTTCTCAGACTGCTGCCTACTACCTTTGTATAAAAGCTCTACAGTGAAGATATAGCTAGCTCTAAGTTCATCCAAATGGTAAGCACTGATTCAGCTCCAACACTGAAGTTTCCACTGGAAGTCACTGCCTGAAACTAATGCATAAAATGACTTAAATAAAATTCTTTATGAATACTACACAGGCATGCTAAAATAAGACTACGTAAATGAACATGGTATCACCTAACTATGAAGTACTGAAAATAAAATTATCACTTACCCAAGTCTGTAAGACGTTTAGGTGACCTGCTTGAAAATCGTTCCGACGACCTCGACCTCCGACGATCAGGGGATCTGCTGTATCTTCTTCTTCCTGAGGATCTTGATCGTCGTAGTCGAATGGGTGACCTACTAGAGCTCCGTCTTCTTCCTCTCGACCTTGATCGCCTTTGACGAATCGGTGTTCGACTCCTGCTCCGTAACCTGAGTGATATTCTACGATCTCTTGAATCTGACCTTCTTCTTCTTCTGTCAGTAGATCTTGATCTATTTCTCTGAGATCTCTTACGTCTGTCTCTTGATAAAGAACGCCGTCTTCTTGATGCTGACCTTGACCTACTTCTCCTTCTGTGCCTTGAACGCGACAATGAGCTAGATCGAGAGCGACGGTTAGATTTTGATCTTGATGCTCTCCTCCGTGTCACTGATCTGGAGCGATTCCGTCTAGAGCGAGACTCTGTATCGTATCTCTGGGATCTGCGCTGGGAAGACCTGGAGCGTCTGCTTCTAGACCTTCTAGATTCTTTGTCTGCTGCTTTCTCAATAGATTTGGATCGACTCCTTTGGTGACCAGTGGACCTGGAGCGTCTACGTCTAGACCTCCATGAAGACTCTTTGTCTGCTGTTTTTTCAACAGACGTCGATCGACTCCTTTGGTGAGCTGCGGACCTTGAGCGTCTACGTCTAGACCGCCGTGAAGATTCTTTGTCTGCTGTTTTCTCAATAGATGTGGATCGACTCTTCTGGTGAGCAGCAGACCTGGAACGTCTACGTCTAGATCTCTGTGAAGACTCTTTGTCTGCTGTTTTTTCAACAGACGTGGATCGACTCTTTTGGCATGTAGGAGACTTTGAGTGTCTACTTAGAGATCTTCGTGAAGACTCTTTGTCAGACATTTTATCAACAGATTTGGATCTAGATTTTTCACGTTCAGAAGACTCGGAACGCCTACTTTCAGGTAAAAAGGAAGAGTCCTGTTCCTCCAGCCTCTCAAGAGGCATGGAATCCTGTTTATCTTCATCTGCCAAAGAGGGCTCCGCATCCTCACCCTCTTCAGCAGTGGTAGACCTTGACTCACGCTCATCTGATGATGTGGAGTCTCTTCGTTCAGCTGTCAAAGAGGGTTCCACATCATCTGGTTCTTCACCAGTGGTAGACCTCGATTCACGCCCATCAGGGGACGTGGAACGTCTGTGTTCAGTTGTCAAAGCATGTTCCATATCCTCCACTTCTTCACCAGTGGTAGACCTTGACTCACGGTCATCAGATGATGTGGAATCTCTTCGTTCAGCTGTCAAGGAGGTTTCCATATCCTCCACATCTTCACCGGTGGTAGACCTCGACTCGTGTTCATCTGATGATGTGGAATGCCTACGTTCAGCTGTCAAAGACAGCTCCTGGTCCTCTGCTTCTTCACCAGTGGTTGACCTTGACTCACGTCCATCAGGAGACATGGAGCCTCTATGTTCAGCTGTCGAGGGCTCCAAATCCTCCATTTCCTCACCAGTTGTAGACCTTGACTCTCGGTCATCGGAGGACGTAGAGTGTCTACGTTCAGCTGCCAAAGAAGGCTCACCATCTTCTGCATCTTCACCAGTAGTAGACCTTGACTCATGCTCATCAGATGATGTGGAATCTCTTCGTTCAGCTGCCAAGGAGGGTTCTGCATCCTCTACCTCTTCCCCAGCAGTAGACCCGGAATCATGGTCATCAGAAGACACAGAGTCTCTACGTTCTGTTGTCAAAGGCTGCTCCAGATACTCTCCTTCTTCACCAATGCTAGATCTTGACTCATGCTCATCAGGGGACATGGAGCGCCTATGTTCAGATGTCAAAGAAGGCTCCAAATCATCTGTTTCTTCATCTACAGTAGATTTCTGGTCATTGCCCTCAGGGGTCACAGATCGTCTATGCTCAGAAGCCAAAGAGGACTCTAGACCCTCTTCCTCCACAGGAGATTTCAGCTCATGCCCTTCCTGGTATGAGGATGTGGAATGTCTACGTTCAGATATCAAAGAAGGCTCTAGATCCCCCGTTTCTTCACCAGGGCCAGATTTCACACTGTAGCCATCAGGGGACACAGAGCACCCACTTTCAGGCATTAAAGGGATTGAATCATCCATTTTTTCAACACGGATGGATTTCAAGTCATCATGGGACATAGAGGCTCTATCGTTTAGCATCAAAGGTTCACCTACTTCCCCAACAGTGGAGAGGTTCACCTCCTGGCCATCAGGGTATGCTGCATCTTCATTTTCAGGTGTTGGAGAAAGCTCCTGCACATCTGATTTCTGAACAGTAGGAAATCTTACCTCCTGGCTCTTGAAAGATGAAAGATGGTCATTTTCAGATGTCAGGGAATCCATATCCTCTGATTTTTCAGCATGAGTCAATCTTGAGTCGTACTCTTCAGGGGATAGAGCATGTTCATTTTCAGATGTCAGAGAAGGCTCCTTAGCCTCTATTTTTTCAGCAGGGCTAGACGGCAGCTCCTGATCTTCAGGGGACATGGTACATTCACCTTCGGACAAAGACAACTCCTGCACCTCGGTTTTCCCAACAACCGTAGACTGCAGCTCCTGACTGTCAGTGGACATTGAACTTTCACTTTCAGATGTTTCTGAAGGTTCCTCCGCTTCTTCTTTTTCAAGAGGACTAGATACATCATACTCATTTTCCGATAGCAAAGAACATTCCTGCACCTCTGTTTTTTCAGCAACAGCAGAGAGAAACTCCTGCCCTTCAAGTGATGCAGCATATTGACTGTCCAATACTACTGAAGGCTGCTGCGACGATGTTTTTTCAGCAAAGGTAGACTGTAATCCTTGGCCTTCATGGAAGATGGTACATTCACTGTCAGATGTCAGAGAAGGCCCCTGCACCTCTTTTTCAGCTGTGATGGCTGCCATCTGGTCCCCAGGAGATACAGCACACTCACTTTCAGGCAGCAGACAACATTCCTGCACTTCTGTTTTTTCAGCAAGGGAAGATGGCAATTTGTGATCTTCACAAGACACAGCATATTCATTGTCAGGTACTACTGACACCTCCTGCATCTCTACTTTGGCAGGAGAGCTAGATCTCAACCCCTGGCCCACCCAAGATACAGCATATTCATTTTCAGATGGCAGAGCAGATTCTTGCATGTCTATCTTTTCAACAGAGGGCAACTGCAACTCCTGAGTCTCAACAGACACTGAATATCTTTCTTCAGACATTTGATAAATCTCCTGCATCTCTGTTTTATCAGCAGGGGTTGATGTCAACTCTGGGCCATCAAGCACTATTGTATACTCATTCTCCTCTACCTCAACTTTTTCCAAATGTGCGGATGTCAACTCATGAGCATCAGAGGAAACAGAACATCTGCTTTCCAGTATCAGAGGTGGCTCCTGCACCTGTATTTCTTCATCAGAGGCAGATCTCAAGTTGTGGCCATCAGGGGATGCAATGCCTTTCGGGTCAGATGACTTCTGCACCTCTACTCTTGCAGCAGGGATAGGTCTCAATTCATGACTATCAGACAACAGGAAACACCCACCATCAGATGTCAGAGAAGTCACTGAGGCATGTAGTTTTTCAGTACATGTGCCTACTGATTCATAAACCTCAGCAGGTTTGGAGAACTCATTTTCCAGTAAGACAGGAGGCTTCTGTACCTCAATTTTTCCAACTGCAGTGGATGCCAATTCATAGCCTTCAGGGATGACAGAACATCTCAACTCAGATGCCAATGACAGTTCTCCACCTTCTGTTTTCTCAAAGTAACTATGTTTTGATTTATGGCCATCATGGCACACAGGAATCCCAGTTGTAGAAATCAAACATGATCCTGCACCCTGTATTTTTCCAGCAGAGAGGTATCTCGATTCATTCCTTTCAGAAGATTCAGAGCAGTCAATTTCAAGCATTTGTGAAAGCGTTGGACCATCTAAATCTCTGTCAACAGATGACACGGCCTCATGAACTTCAGAAGACTTGCAACTTTGTCCTACACTTGTCAGCACCATTTCCTGTGTTTTTTCAAAAGATGACGCTGAAATTAAGTCATTGGAGATCTCTACAGGACCACATTCAGATGTCAGGGAAATATCTGAGGCATTAACTTCTTCAACAGATAAAGATCTTTGTCTATTTCCAACAGGTGACTCGAAGGACCCACTTTCAGACATTGGCAGAAGCTGCTCTGTTTGTGCTTCAAAGCTTGATCTTGATTCATATCCATCAGGAGACCTGAAGCATCCACTGTCAGAAGCCAAAGGCTCCTGCATCTGGCCCTTTTCAACAGGCAAGGACCCTGGCTCACAGACGTCAGGGAACACAGAGCATCTAACTTCATGTGCTAGAGAAGATTTTTGAGCCTCTACTGTTTGAAAAGACTCAGGTCTGTCAGCCAACCTGGAAGATTCACCTTCAGGTACTTGCAAAAAATTCTGAAGCTCTGTTTTTTCATTGGGGGTATGCCTCAATTCATGTCTATCAGACAACTCAGAGCGTACACCTTCAAACATCAGAGAAGACCCTTGAACCTCTGTTCTTCCAGAGGATGAGGAGATTGTCTTGTAATCAGAAGACACAGAGCATCCACTTTCAAATGTTAGAAGAGGTTCTGGACCCTCTACTTCTCTGAGAGATGCAGATCTCGACTCATCTTCATGGGATGCAGAGGGCTGAGATTCTGTTACCAAAGAAGTCTCTGCATCTCCTCTTTTTTCAACAGATGAGGATCTTGACCTGGATGTGTAGTTTTCAGGTAGTGATGAAGACTCCAGAGCTACTGCTTTTTCAGTTGATACGTTTTCAGATGTCACAGAAAGCTCTGAAACCTGGTTTTTTTCTACAGGCATGGACTCCTGGTCATCTGGGGTTTTGGAACTGTCAAATTCAGAGACAACAGAAGGCTGCAGACCAGCTGCTTTTTCAAGAGGTAAGGAGCTTTTCTCAAGACTATCAGAAGTTTCAGAAAATCCACTTTCAGATGCTGGTGGCAGCTCTGGGCCATTTACTCTTTCATCAGACAAAGATACTGACATGGGACCATTAGAGGATTTGGAGGAGCTACCTTCACTTGCAAGAGAAAGTTCAGGAACTTCTGCTTTTTCAAGACATTTAGTTGACTCCTGAAGCTCAGAAGACTCCGCATGCTTGCTACTGCATTTCACTGAGGATAACTTATTCTCTCTTTTTTCTACAGATTTGGATCTTGACTTGACACTATCAGAGGACTTGGAACGTTTCCGTTTGGACTTTTTTGAAGATTCTTTGCGCTTTTTTTCAACAGACCTAGACCTCGACTTGTAACGGTCAGAGGACTTGGAGCGGCGACGCTTAGATTTTCGTGAGGACTCCTTCTTTTTTTCAACTGATTTGGATCTAGACTTGTAACGATCAGAGGACTTTGAGCGCTGACGTTTAGATTTGCGTGATGACTGTTTTCGGTCTCTTTTTTCTACTGATCTGGATCTAGACTTGTAACGGTCAGAGGACTTTGAGCGCTGACGTTTAGACCTTCGTACAGATGCCTTCCGACCTCTCTTCTCAACAGATCTTGACCTAGATTTTGAACGATCAGAGGAGCCAGACCCTCTATTTCTGAACCTCCAGGAGTATTCTTTGCCTCTCTTTTCTGAAGACCTGGATCTAGATTTGGAACGGTCAGAGGACCTGGAACGTCTGTGGCGGGATCTCCAGGAGGACAACCTGCTCCCCCTCTTTTCCACTGACCGTGATTTAGACCTGTAACGGTCAGATGACCTGGAGCGTCTGCGCCCAGACCTTCGGGAGGACAGTCGCTTTTCCAATGACCTAGACTTAGACCTATAGCGGTCAGAAGACCTGGAACGTCTGCGCCCGGACCTTCGAGAGGACAACCGCTTTTCCACTGACCGTGATTTAGACCTGTAGCGGTCAGAAGACCTGGAACGTCTGCGCCCAGACCTTCGGGAGGACAGTCGCTTTTCCAATGACCTAGACTTAGACCTGTAGCGGTCAGAAGACCTGGAACGTCTGCGCCCGGACCTTCGAGAGGACAACCGCTTTTCCACTGACCTGGACTTAGATCTGTAGCGGTCAGAGGATCTGGAACGCCTACGTCTGGATCTTCGGGAAGACAATCGCTTTTCCACTGATCTAGATTTGGATCTGTAGCGGTCAGACGACCTGGAACGTCTACGTCTGGACCTCCCAGAGGACAATCTGCTCCCTCTCTTTTCTGCTGATCTTGATTTAGACCTGTAACGGTCAGACGACACAGAACGTCTGCGCCTGGATCTTCGGGAAGACAATCTTCTCTCTCTCTTCTCCATTGATTGAGATCTGGATTTGGAATGCTTTTTTCTGGAATCTGAATAGTTTCTGCTCCTCGAACGTGCTCTTTTAGAAGTCAAACGCCTGGAAGTAGAACGTGATCTTGATTTTTTCTTCCGCTTCCTAGACCTGGACTGAGACTTGGAGCGACTCCTTTTTTGTTTCTTGGCATCGTGTTTTTTATCACTGCTTCTATGGCTACTTTTTTCAATAACTTTCTCAAGTCTCATCAGAGTCTCCTTCATTCGCGCTGCCACGTCAGGTTGCACATCAGACGTTTCTGAATCTCTTTTCTCTGATTCCCGTTCCGGAGTTGCTTCTCTTTCAGCCTCATCCTGTGGAACAACTTCCAACTGGCTTGTCTCTGCTGGAAGTAGTGGAACTGCTTCTGTTACAGTCTCGGGTACTCGAGCTGCTTCTAAATGTTTTGTTTCAGTCTCCAACCCCACGGCTGCTTCTGCATCTTTTGGCTCTATAATGGTCTCAGGAAGAGGAACCATTTCCAAATCTTTTGTTTCTGCCACAGGAGACAGAGTTGCTTCCAACTGTTTCGTGTCTCCAATTATTTCAGATTCGCAAGTCCCTGCTGAAGCTTTTTCATCTGCTGCATGTGAAGAACTAAAATCTGTTTCTGCTATTAAGGGCTCAGATACTTGAGTTTGCTGTGCATCTTTCTTCTCAACCAGTATCTCACATTCCTGAGCTTGACTTGGAACTGTCACACCCTCCATTTGTTGACCCTGCACCCCTTCTCCATATTGTACTTCTGCTGCCACTTCATGTTGCAGTGTTTCCACATTTTTCATGTCCCCTGTTTTTGGAACTGCTTCAGAAGATTTCATTTGAGCTGCACTCAAGATTTCTGAAGCCTCTTCTGTACTCTTCCATGGTGCAGCAGATTTTACTTCTAGAACTGCTTTTAGATGTTCTTGCTTTTCTGTGTGCAAAGACTCTGGAACGGCTTCTGAAACAGTCACCAGCCCCACATTTACAGACCTTTGGGAAATTTCCAACCCTTGGGTATCCATGCATGCCTCAGGCTCCTCGACTGCTTCAGAATCTTTCACCTCCACTGCCTCAGGCTCTTTCATACTTTCCAACAACCTCGCTTCTCTTGTTTCTGAAACTGGCTCCAATTGTTTTGCTTTCATTGCTGTCTCAGTCTCTGAAACTTCACCCAAATCTTTTATGTTTGTAAGTGAGGACTCATTTTTTGGTGTGCTTGCTCTTCTTGTTGCAATTATATATTCTACAGTAGGTCCTGGAGTTCTCACATCTGTCAGTATCTTAGATTCTGGAGTTCCTTTCAAGTTCCTCCCTTCTGTCATTATTTCTGATGCCATCGTTTTTTCTTCCAGTCCAGGCAAATTCTCCAGTACTGCTTCCGAATGACCTACTACTTGTTCCTGTACATATTTTGAATGTGTTTCTGAAGTTTCCACTGTCACCGTTTTCACAGGTTCTAGCACTGCTTCTTCGCTCCTTGCCTCTGCACTGTTTGTATCTTCTGGAGCAGTTTCAGAATACCTCATTTCTCTAACCATCTCAGATGTCAATGTCTTTCCCAAGCCTTGCATTAGAGGCCTCGTTTCAGATCCCACAAACATTTCCAAACTTTTCATTTGCGTTAAGTGTGAAGTTTTTGATCTTGCTTCCCCATCTTTTACCTTTGCAACTGCCTCAACTTCCGACAAGCTATCTAAACCTCTTACTTCTACAGCGGCAGAACCAGCAGCTAGTTCAGAATCTTTTCTCTCCTCTACCACCTCAGTTTGTGAGGTTCTTGTCTGTGTCATGACCTGAAACTGTGAAATGATGGAACTCTTTGTCTTGCTTGCACCAAGAGCTTCTGCAACCACTTCTGCATGTTTTGGTTCTCTCTCTGCTGTGGTTTTCAAATGCATCATTCCTGCCAATGCCTCAGACTCTCCAGATGCTTCCATGCTTACATGTGCAACCACAGACTGAGGAGTCCTTGCCAATCTTTCTTCTAAGGCAAGAAGTCCTGGACTTGCTTCCAAAACTTTGCTACCAATTCTGGCTTCAGAACGCTCATCATGTCCCAAACCCCTTGCCACTGCAAGGGCTACGGGCCGCAAGACTGCTTCTGAAGCTTGTATCTTTGCTGCATCTTCTTCCGGTCTTCTCATGTCTGATTCACTCTCGAATCTCAATCCTCTCAGCTCATCTGGTTGCGTCACTAAATAAGTACCTTCTGAATATTTTGCCTCTGTTACAGCTACAGGCTTCTGAGCAGATTCCAACATTTTCGAAGCATTAGTATTTTCCAGTTGCAGAGTAGCTTGACTTATTTCTTGACCTTTTACTCCTGTTGGTGCCAGAACTTCCATGGTTGCTCCTGCAACCACATTTACACTTGTCAGTTCTGTTGGAAGTGCAGATTCCTGGGTTCTGCACACACTTCTTGTTTCTGTCAAGACTTGCGGTTGTACGAACACTCCTGATGCACTCAGCACTGCTGCAGGAGCAGTGGTACTTTCCACATCTTTGATTACTTCAACTTGCAGACATTCTTGAGCTGCTTTAACATCTTTTGCTAAAACACCCATAGGTTCCATGACTGCTTCCAAAGTTTTGGATTTTACTGCAGCAACTGGCTGCAGAGCTTCTTCCAAAGCTTTCACATTTTCCACATGCACAGATGTCCCAGCTGGTTCAAAACCCTTCATTTCTGTAACAGCTCCTGGTCCCAGGGGTGTTCTGGCATTTTTCACTTCCACCTGGGTGACAGCAGTCACTGCAGCTATTTTTAAAGGATGCTGAAAAGATACATCTGCCTTCAAGATACTTGAACCCTCCATGGTGCTGCACTGCATCCCTCTCAGATTATCAGATACAATTGAGGGCTTCAGGGCAGACTCTAAAGTTCTGCTCGCACCTCCAAATTCCAATGATCTTTCCACACTTCCCATATGCAAGTATTTTTCAGTTGCTTCTGGAATTTTCACTTCTTCCATGGTCACAGACATGTGAGGAATTGCTGTTGCATCACTTGGCAAAGACACTGAAGCTGCTAACTCTTTTGCTTGCCCTCGTGCCACAGACTGTAGAGATGCTTCTGAATATTTCAACACATCTATGGTCTGAGACTCAAGAGCTTTATCCAAAGTTTTTACTTCCCCAGTGCCTTTAGATTTCAGAATAACTTCTGAATCTTTTAGTGCTTCTATTACCTCTGAAGCTAGAGGTGCTGCTGAGTCTTTCTGAATTTCATATTTATTGGCAACTCCAGATTGGATGCTAGACAAATTATCATTTCCAGTATCAATAAGAACACCCTTTTCACTCATGTTAGTAGCTACAGGATAAATATTTTCATGAGACCGTATAGTTTGTTCTCCTCTAGTGCAAATTTGAGTTATACTAGCATTTGCTTGGATATCAGATTGACTGCCTTCTGAACTAAATGGAGGATGCGTGGCACATAAAGTCCCCTTCTCACTTCCAAGGTTTTCTGTAGATTGCTGAAAATCAGTTCTTGAATGAGAAACAAGTCCTAAAGCTTGTCTATCAAGCTCCTCACTTGCTTGTAAGCACAGTTCCTCTGGCTGCACACGGACAGCCAGATTTGCATCTCCAAATCCTCCATGCTGTATACTTGACTTCTCTGGCATCACGTGAGTGACAGGCTGCAAGTCTGCATGTTCTGGATGACGTGTACTCAACTTTGCCTCCTTTGCCTGCTTTTTATGCTTCTTCTCTTTCTTTCTTTTCTTCTTCTTTTTCTTCTTCTTTTTGCTTTTGTGTTTCTTGTTCTTCTTTGATTTTTTCCTAGGAATTTCATCTTCACCAGTAGAGCTTCTTTTTGTAGACTGAGTACTATTTTTCACAGTATTTTTGTCTACATCTAGAAAAAATAATATTTTCCTTGTAAACATTATTAAAACCACACTTTAGAAATGCTTTTAGACTAGTGACCAAGCACATGGACAGAGGTTCAAAAACCAAACTTTAAACACATGCCTTCTTCACTAAACTACCACATACAAATAGCACACAACCTCTTTTCAGCCCTCTTACCCTTCCTCTCAGAATTCACTTTCAATAAAAATAACTAATTCTTTTTTCAAAAAGTTAACTAGATCTTCTTGGTCAGTAACACAGCTCCAGTGGGCTCATGTCTCTTTCCAATAAGTAGATACTTCCACCTATATTCAGCTGAGCAATGCATTCTTCCAGGAGGCTGGAGATGTATTTTTAATACTATACCAAGATGCACATGAAAGTAAAACAAAAACTCCGATTTTCCAGACAAATCACCCACGTGGTAGTATGCTTATTATGTATAAAACATGGTTTGCCCATTAACCTCTACTATGCTTTAACTTGAGAGTGAGCCAACTATTACTAGCGTGTTTGTAATTATCTAAGCGTATTTACTGATCATGTTCCTCACCAATTAAAGTTCATCAAACAAATTTGGGGAAACAGCACCTACTTCCCCAATCCCATACAAGCTTTAGGCATTGCACACAACCAGCTGCTCAGACTGGAGTGCAGCTGTGAAGTGCTGGGGTTTAAACCCCCAGCACCTAATGAAGGTTGACATATGGATGATGCCCATAACCAGGCAAGAAAGACCCTCCTGACAGTTTTTCCACCCAGGGTCTGGCCAGCCTTGGGTGGGAACTGATCAGGAGATCACCACCAGCTGCCCCCACCTTCCACATTAACTTGAAGGCAGGGCATTAAGCTACCTATGTAAGAGCTGACTCTGCTTCCAGTGGAGTTGGGAGGCTTGCCTACGCAGTGCACGTGCTATGTGAGGGTTTCTGCTATTGGAAGAGCTCCTCAACTCTTCGTGGCAAGTGGAGTTATCAGGACAGCAGGACCACAACATAAGGCTGTCTCTGAGTCCCTGCTACATAATCTGGGCTCATGGCCCGGCTATTACCATTGCCCACAGTTTGGCTCCTTGACCAGCTTACTCCCTTCTTCGCGTCTACTGTGGTAGGTGGGTGCACTGACTTGTTCCTCCCTCCAGTTGTCTGGTACTTTAGATCTCTGGTGTGTGATGTGGGAGTGGAGGAAGGAGTTTGGCTGCTGGTCTGCCTGTTAATGATAATCTCTTTCTTTATCAGGCAAGTGGTCAGCAGAAGTTGCCACAAGCAACTACAAACTTGCAAGTACTCTAACAAGAGCTTTTGATTCAAAAAGGAAAGTAACTAATAATTTAAGGTGATTCAGGGACAAGGATCACTGAGGGAGAAAGAAAAGAAGTTTTAATCACCTTCTTTTAATTCTGTACCTCCCTTCCCTCAGAACTTTCCACGTTAGTAGGATCTAGTGTCATGTTTTCATGAGGAAGGCCCTTTTATTACAGGCAACTTACTATAATTTCTGTTAAAATATGAGCTATATATTCAAGCCTGCTTGTACCTCATCTTTAATGATTGTATTTATACGGGCCAGTGCAGCAATCTGGATTCTCTAATTATAACTTGGCCATGATCACAAAGCACATTCTTTCAAGCCAACGCAGCAAAATTATTTCAAAAATTATTGGCAATTGTAATATCATTAAACAAACATTATTTAAGATTTCATGAACAAGTACCTCAGGTAATTTTAAGCATACACATTTTTACAGAAGAAACAGCTTAAGAAAAAATATTGTTTCCATCAGTATTCCACTGTTGTGAATGCAATGAAAGAGCATAATGAAGCCCAGTCAAATGACACCTTCTACGCAGCATTTTCAGATAATCTCTGCTGTCCAATACGAACGTTAACCCCCTTTCAGATATGAACAGTGGCAATGTTTACCATCAGTTAAGTTTATTAACTTCCAAGGTAATAATCTCACTTATTTATTACCAGGTTAGCTTGCCTTACTCTTCCCTGACACAAAACAAGAAAAAAAGAAAACCAATCCAGATGTCAGCTGAAGCGTAAGGTGCTGCTTGTACAGGATAAGTGAAACTGCTGAAAATACTCAAGGTAAACAAGCCACTGTGCATATAAGAAAAAGCAATTACAAAATCTTGCAAGCAATCTCCAAAATAATCAATTTTCTATAGTGCAAATAAAAAAAAAATCACTCTGGAACTATACTTACCAACCACACAGCAGTCACCTATGTTTCAAATACAAAAAAGTTGGAAAGCAAATAATAAGAATTCATATCTTACTAACTCTCCTAATTCAGAAATTTTATAGAAAGGACTAGTCCCATAAGAAGGCATACTCATATGCAGCATTTTGAAATTTTAAAAACCCAGTAACTTACAGAAGTTATGAGAGTGCTACATAAAGAAGACTGCAATCTGAGTAACTGCATTTTAAAAATAAGCATATAATGTATTTTATAGCAGCAATGCATCCTACTCTGACAGAAATTAATCACACAGTTCTGTATTCTAATAAATTATTTTTAGAAATTATGTTGCAAATCAATGTAAAACAACACATCAAACAATGCTCCTATCCTTCAGTGCCACTTTTGTTAGTAAGAACTGCTCACTGAGACCCTGAAGTAGATACATACAAAAGAAAGCACAATTCTAAATATGGATATTATTTATATGTTTTAGCATTATTTTAATGGAGATGAAATAATTTTCATACTAAGTAATGTTTTCAAAAAATGAGCTTCTATTTTTGAATTACACATTTCTCTGTCCATCTATAGTTGTAAATCACAGTAAACAAAAAATTACAAACATTGCAATAAACATGCAAAATTTGCCAGATGAAGCCCAGTGAGAGGCAGCACTGAAAAGTATTCTTTAATTTTTGTAAAACTGGTTTAATTTAAAGCACTATGACAACCTTCTTAAATAAGAATATATTTGCCAAATGTGTTTTCATTTACCTGATTTGCACTGTAGCTCTGTATCAAGGGCTCCAGAGAGCACTTCCTCTATTTTCTGCACTATCTGATCATTCTGACGACTCCCAGCACCAGCAACAGTGTCATCTGAAGGGTTGGCTTGCTCAGCTGGGATTGTGTCACCATTGGGCTGGCCTTCTACCTTTCCACTAACCAAAAAAAATACCAACATAATACAAGCAATTTTGAGCCTTTTTTGATCTTTAAAAAAAAAAAATCATAAGCATTTATTATACTCAGCCCTTCAAAACAGTATTTTAGCCTCCTGAAGAAGCCATGCTTTTAGCACAACATCTACTTTTCGGTTAACTTTCACTTATTCACAACAGAACTCACTGTGGCAACTGAGTATTAGGCACAAGGGAAGAAAACACGGTTCTTTGAATAAGCCACAGACCCCAAACATGTAAGAATTTGCAGACTCCCCGCACAAAATAAGCACCCATCACTTTTCAGCAGATTTTGCTTACATTGCCAGACAACGATAGGGAAAACGAGTCAAAAATAACCGTTGTAAGATCAGTCAGACAAACAGCACAGAGGTTCACCCTTTTGCCTCTTGCCCTGACACAAGAGACCAACGCCATACACCCGTGAGTGAAAACGGGGGCGCGGTCGCTAGGAAACAAACGACGCGTGCGCACGCTCTCCTTCTTCCC